CGCCGGCCCCGGGCGCATGGCTATGGGGGGAGCCCCTGCCCCAGGCGCCCAAGTGTCCCCGCCCTCTGGCGCCCGGCAGGCGAACGGCCACGCCCCCTGGCACCCGGCAGCCTCAGATGGTTGGGGACCACTGCCCTAACTGGTTGGCCACCCCTGCACTGGGATATCACAGCCACAGGGAGTAAACGTAACCTGGCCCCACTCTCTGCGGAGCTGTCCTGGAATGGCAGCACCTAGAGCAGGAGACAGGACAGGCGCCTGAGGCGGCTATTCCCAACCCTTCCGTATGGATCCTGCAAAGCAGGGGCACGAGATGCCAGTAGGACTGGACTATCCCATTAGTCCGTTCTGGGGAGCAGGGATGGATGGGCTGCAATCCAATTTGCTCAGCGTCATTCCCCGGAGCCCCAGCAGAGCAGGAGCTACACCGCTCTTAGCCGCCTGCTCCGGAAATGGACCTAGGCAGCTGAGCCGTCTTTGCAACGGATGGATCCTCCTGGCATGACTGGGAGGTAAAGCCGTGCTGTCATCCCCATGTCATCACGAAGGGGGAGCTGAGGTACCCGGGGACTAAAGGACTTTCTCCAGGTCTCACAGTGTGTGTGGCAGAGCAGCGACTAACTCTGGCTCTCGCCAGCTCAGGCAGTGCTCAAACCACTGGATAAGCCTTCCTCTTCGGAGAGAGAGAGGTGCGGTCTGTAACAGGGAGGCAGCTTCCTCCAGGGAGCCTTACCCAGGGTCTATGCAGTCCTGGATATCCGCCACCCAGGAGTGTTTCTGGAGGGAGTCGATGGTTTCCAGGATATACTCAGCACCATTCTCCACCTAGATGGGCAGCAAAGGGTGGGGGAAAAAAGACGCTGTCAATTAATAATTCCTTCATCTGTTTGAAATACACTCTTCCTCTCTTTGTCCCCCGCCACAGAGATGCGAAAGCAGGGAGAAAATCAACGACATAGCCCTTGTTTAACAATCAGATTGGACTGCGGAGTTACGTAAGCCCTGGTCTACGCTACAGAGTTATTTCGATATAACAAGAGGAGCAGCCACACTATCAAACCCGTTATTTCAAAATAACAATTCCTGCTTTCCAGGAGGAATAATGCTTATTCTGAAATAGTGGTAGCATGGGTGCTCCACTGCTGCTATTTTGAAATAAGGGTACGTCTACACTAGCCCCCTAGATCAATCTAGGGACGCTAATGAGGGCGACCGGAATTGCAAATCAAGCCCGGGATTTAAATATCCCGTGATTTATTTGCATGTTCCCGGCCGGTCACCATTTTAGAAACTGACTACAGGATTCCGGAATAAAGCCCTAAATTGAATTAGGTGGTATTCCTCATGGAATGAGATTTACCAGCTAATTCAATTTAGAGGCTTTATTCTGGAATCCCATTTCACTGCCACGTGTAAGCGGGCAGTTACTTCGGGCTAGTCAATTTCTAAAATGGTGACCGGCCGGGAACATGCAAATCAAGCACGGGATATTTAAATCCCGGGCTTGATTTGCAATTCCGGTCGCCCTCATTAGCGTCCCTAGATTGATCTAGGGGGCTAGTGTAGACGTACCCTTATTTCAAAATAGCAGCAGTGGAGCACCCATGCTACCACTATTTCAGAATAAGCATTATTCCTCCTGGAAAGCAGGAATTGTTATTTTGAAATAACGGGTTTGATAGTGTGGCTGCTCCTCTTGTTATATCGAAATAACAAGGTTTCCCCACAGTGTGGACGCGCTATTTTGAAAGTTATTTTGGGAGTTATTATTTCGAAATAATTCCTACTGTAGATATGCCCTAAGTGCTGGTATCACACTTTCACCCACCACTGTAATGCAGCCACCTCTCTGGCACATGCAGCAGCTGTTAAATACCTCATGGCACATCAGTTCAAAATGGGACATGAAAGAGCACACCCTGTCCTAACGAGGAATTCTGAGGCGTTTGACCATAACGACCTATGCTGGGACTGCACCAGAACTTGGGGGCAAACATTCCTACTTCTGTGAAATGTGCTGTGGGATTGGCAATGGTCCCAAGAGCCAGGACTTCAGTGTAAAGGCAGGAACACTAGCTCCACACTGACAGAGGAAAGAGCCCATTCCCTGTATTATCCCAACTTGGTCTAGCTTTCCAGATGGGAGGCCATCGCCAGAGGCAATACGGCCAACCTTAAGTGTTTGAAAAATCACCAGTTGGCTGCCTCCATCCACCTCAAGAAAAAAAAATCAGAAAGATTATCTGAAAAATGAGGAGATTTTTAGAAAAAATGTAGTCTCTTTTAATAGCTGGTTATCAGCCTTCTGGTCCCAAAGCTTTTGTCTGCTACCAAGTCGGGGAAACCATACTTGAAAAAAAATGGCTAGCTGGGGTTCTCATATAATCACATGGCTCCAGGAGCGGGGCCTTTAATAAAAAATACCAGCAACTCCAAGAGGTGGCACAGCTGCAGAAGCAAAGGCTGGAAGGGGCATCATAAGTCACCATGCAGGGATTCCTGCATCTCCGGCAGACTTTGCCCTATTCCGCCTCGCCGAACACGTTATGTAACCTGTTACCTAACCGGACGAAGGCAGGTCTGCCTCCGTCAGGGTACTGCCCAGCTGTCGGGGCCGGCCTTCTGTCAAATGAGCCTAATCACACAGAGCTGAATCACTGCACCCAAAATAAACAAGCTCTGCTCAGGAGCCCCCGTCAGAGCCAGTCAGCAGCAGGGAGCATGAATCTGTCCTCCTGCCAAGAATCCGAGCAGCAAGTGCTATGAATTAGCAATGCTCACCCCCAGCAGATATGCGTAGGGCGAGCAGCTGATCATTCCATTCCGGTGCTTAACCCTCCCAGGAAGTGAAACTGACACCTACACTCAGGGGCAGCCCGTCCATATAGGTGAACTAGGCAGTCGCCTTGGGCGCCAAGTTAAATGGGGTACCAAATGGCGGTGCAATATCATTGAGGGGTTTAGAGGTGGGGGTGCCGACTGCATGGTTCACCTAGGGTGCCAGTTGCTGGGAGCTAGTCTAGGGCTGTCCCTGCCTACACTTAATAAGAAATGCTGCACAGTACACCTGGAAGATTTCAGGGTTCTTAAATAGACATACAACGCAGTGGTTCAGCTCTCCTGCGAAAGGCAGCATAGGCATACAAAGGGGAGAGCGCAGGTAAAGGGTGTGTACACACATTCTGGCTGAAAGGAGAGCGAGGCTGCAGGTCCAATTTACCATAGAGGTGTTCCAAACTAGAAGGGAATGTTTTCCGGTCACAAGTATCTGCACTTTCTCTTTCCACTGTCCAAAACCACTGCTACATATAACCACACAGTCACTCCATACTAGGGATGGAAAATCCCATTTAATTAGTTAACCAGTGGAAAAACGGTTAGCCGATTAAAGGGGGGGGGCGAGTTCAACCCGGCTAGGCTGGAGTTGCCCCTCGGCCCACCGCGGCTGGGCTCAGCTGGGCTGGAGTGTGCCCCTCCCCATCACAGGCTGGGGCTGCTTCTGCCTGGCTAGAGCAGTCTCTGTCCACAGCAGGCCTCACGGGTCTGGAGCAGTCCCTTGCTCATGGCGGGCGGGGAGCTGCTCCAGCCCCCACTGGTTAACTGCTAAGGGTGATGCTTACCAGTCAGCCAGTTAACTTTCCCATCCCTATTCCATATGTCAAAAGCACAAGGGAGAGGGAGAACAGAAGCTGCAGCCAGTGGAGATAATAAGGTCCCTTATCTTTCCTGTGGGTCCAGCACCACATCAGTCACTCGCACATCTCTTCAGGAGTGCTAGGCCAATGTGAGAGGTGCCGAGAGCCATTGAACCAAAGTGTAAACGCTGTGTATCATGGAAACCACTTAAAGCCAGCAGGAGCAGCAGCACCTCTTGCATCGCTAGTTCCAGCATCTAAGCACCTCTCCCCAAAAGACGTC